AATGTCCTTAACTCTTAGTTTTACCTTTGCATATACAACATTTAGGTATCTTACCTTTAAAATGCAGCACTCAATCCTATGAATTTACTGTGTTACTTGAAGATAATGCTGGTTCCTAAGATTTTTAACTTAAGCCGGGAGGTGATGGCGCACGCCTTTAATCCCAGCACTGGGAGGCAGAGGCAGGCGGATCTCTGTGAGTTTGATGCCAGCCTGCTCTACAGAGTGAGATCCAGGAAAGGCACCAAAGCTACGCAGAGAAACCCTGTCTCGAAAAACCAAAAAAAAAAAAAAAAAAAGTTTTTAACTTAAATGTTGGAAAATTCAAGGAAACATTTGATACTAGTAGCAAACAGAGTGAAGCTTGGAAGGAACTATGCACACAGTTCATTACTTGTTATGTATCTCTCTTGTCATCTGTCATTCTTCCTGGGGGGTAAGTTTCCCGATTCTCAGTTGAGCATACATTTCACAATACCTGTTCCAGTTTCCCCGCAACTAAGTATTTTCAGAAAACAATGTTGTGGTTACTACATTGTGGTAGACAGAAGTGGGAAATAAAATTGCTATGAAATAGCCTCAGAGAGAGCTCTGCCCTTCCCCCACTTTTTCTTTCTTCTTTTTTTTTTTTGTATGATGGGAATGTGGTGAAGATAGCTGGAAGCACAGGAGCCACCTCAGGCCACTGGCGGAAGCGTCAGTGCCCTAGAGGCGAAACCTGGGGGAAGCGGGATTTTAGTTACTTTTGTTTCAAATTTTAGATACCATGTCCCATTATGGGTTTGTATCTAAAAATGTCCTCTGAAGGCTCATATGTCAAAAAGTGGATGCTAGTTGATGGGCTTTTGATTGTATCATGAGCCCTGTAACCTCATCAAAGGATTAATCCACGGCAGAATGGATTATGAGGAGGTGGGGCTTAGCTGGAGGAAACAGGTCCCTGGGGAGTGCATCTTTGCAGAGTATATCCATCCTGGCCATGACATTTTGTTTCTGGGTGCCTCTTGCCCAGCAGGTAGTGAGCCACTTTGGCATGTTGAATTCTCCCCGGGAACAGGAGCAGTAGGTCCAAGTAGCTGTGAATGACACCTATGAAAACACAAGTCACAATACATCCTTCCTCTTTTGTTTTCCCAGGCATAATGCCCCATGGATGTAAGGTGACACAATGCTAAGTAATAGATTCCCGTGAACTTTCCTATGGACATAATAACAGTTTATATTGTTTTTCAAGCACATGAAAGCAACTCAAATCAATGATAAGCACTAACCCTTTTTTCTTGAACCAGCATCTGGTGGGTGACCCCTAGAGCATGCTAACATTATGTTTTGAGCATACATTCCATAAAGAACCATCGAGTTTGATCATGCATACATAGTCTACCTATCACTTTTCCTTATCCCAAATCACCTTGCCCTGTGCCTTTGACTGCCTGGCTTCTTCTAGAAATATCCCTAAATGCTATACTGAGGGAGGTGAATTTGAGACTTGCCTGATACTTTCTATACACTTGACTTTCTGGTGAACAAACTTTCTCCTTCACAAAACCTGTCATTTCATTGATTGGTATACTGCATAGTTGAGAAAAAACTGACACTGTAGCAGTTTCAGCCCTGGACAACCTCTGGATCACATTTACAGAAAAGAAACACAGACTACCATTTTTTTTCTTTCTTTCTTTCTTTTTTTTTGGTTTTTCAAGACAGGGTTTCTCTGTGTAGCTTTGTGCCTTTCCTGGATCTCACTCTGTAGACCAGCCTGGCCTCGAAGTCACAGAGATGCCCCTGCCTCTGCCTCCCGAGTGCTGGGATTAAAGGCATGCACCACCACTGCCCGGCTCAGACTACCATTTAAATTCCCACTATTTTGAAATTGATGGCACCTATAGTTGAACCTAACTTGAATGTAGACAAAAAGTCATCCACAAGTTACAGTTAGACAGAAAGAAACTTCACTGCATGAGATCACCAAGTCAGACATAGTAAATGACTAAGTCAAGTCAAGCCTCTTCTTTTCTGAGCTGTGTATAGTATGTTATGAAGACCATGGGACTGATGTATTCATAGCCCTCTAGGAGAGTAGTTTGTCATCTAGATTCTGCAGAAGGATTTCCCCAGGTTCATCTCCAGACTCTTAACAGTACTTGAAGTAGTTCTAGCTAGTTACTAGACACACTTCGAAAAGTTGAACATGCGAACTGTTTGTGGGGAGCACCCAGGCAGGGGGATTGAGATCCATCCCTGGTGCATGGGGAGGCTTTTGGGAATCTGGTACCTGTGGTGAGGCGCCTTGCACAGCCTTGGTACAGTGGGAAGGGGCTTGGACCTGCCTAGGCTCAGTGTGCGGGGCTCTGCTGACTCCCCATGGGAGACCTTGATTTGGGGGATGTGGGGATGTGGGGTGGCTTGGGAGGGAGAGCTAGGAGATGGGAGGAGGGAAGAGGTGGGATCTGTGGGTGGTGTGTAGAGTGAGTAGAAAATTTCTTAATAAAGAAAAATGGAAGAAAAAAAGTTGAGCACAGTTGGGGGCAAAGTTCAGTGACAGGGTAACTGCCTGGCTTAAACAAAGTCCTGAGTTTATCCCCAGCAACAGCAAAAACTGTGTATTAAGTGGATTTTATCAGCAGGAAATTAGCATTCTACTTATCAAGTTCAGACCTTATTGTTAGGAGAAAAGGCCATAAAAAGGAAACAAAGTTTATTTAAAGGGAAGAAATGAAGGACAACAGAAACTCATGAGAACAGTATTTTGTTAGGTAGTATTACGTGGAGGCTATATAGAAACTCAAGAGCCCATGTTTAAATCCTGCCTCACACAAACTAATCAGGGTTTCCTCCCACTTTCTCAACCCTGCCTATTCTTTCCTTTCTGCAGTACTAGGGACTGTGCTTTGAACCCAGGGCCTTCATAATCTAGGCAAGTCTTCTATCACTACTTTGTCCCCAGATGCTGTATGTGTCTCTGTGTGGGTATGTGCACGTGAGTACAGCTTTCAGTGACGGCCGGAGGAAAGGATCTAGCCCCTGGAGATAAGTTATAGGGGTTTGTGAATCACAAGTGGTAGTTGCTGGAAACTGAACTCCAGGCCTCTGTGAAAGCAGTACTTGCTCTTAACTGAGGAACCATCTTTTCAGCCCATTGTTTCTATGTATCTATTTTTTTTCCATTTGCATGTGTGTGGGAACACATGTGGAGGTCAGAGGAAAATTTTCAGGAGTGGTTCTCTGCTTCTACCATGTGGGTTCTAAGTGTAGAACTCACATTGCAGTTTTTGTTGCAGTTATCCTTACTTGCCCAGCCATCCTGCTGTCTTTGGATTTATTTCTTAACCTTACTGTGTTTCTTTCTTTCTTTCTTTCTTTCTTTCTTTTCTTTTCTTTTTTTTTTTTTTTGAGACAGTGTCTCTCTACATGGCCTTGGCTGTCCTGTAGACCAGGCTAGCCTCAAACTTACTAAGATCCACCTGCTTTTGCTTCCCAAGTGTTTAAAGGCATGTGCCACCTGGCCTTCGATTTTTATAACAGCAGTCAACACACGAGATACTGTGAATATTTAATCAATTACAGTGCCTGACATTTAATGAATACTAAGTTACAATTTTGACGCTAGGACTCAACAAAGGAAGAACTATCTGTACACAGCTAAAGATGTGGGAAGCTTACTGGTGCCACTGATTATACATGTGGTCTTATTTTATTCACAAAGCCAAGGTTTAGTTAGGTTCTGTGCCTTTTCCAAGGTTATAAACTAATCATTACCAGGTAAGAATTCAAGCTGAGATTCATGGGATTCCAAAGCCGTGCTTCTCAGATAGGAGCAATAAACTAATCATTGCCAGGTAAGCATTCAGCTGAGATTCATGGGATTCCAAAGCCATGCTTCTGAAAAGAAAAGGCAAGGCCTTCCAGCTTTTCTATTTTCTCTTGTCTAATCTCAATTTCCCAGCCCTAGTGCCTCTTCCAACAATCTCCCTAAAAACTCCCAACTGTCTGGGGAGTGGAAGATAGGCGCAACAATGGAGAGTAAGAGAAACCTTGGGAAATGGAAGGATTCGCAGTTTGAGATTAGAACAGAAGAGAAAGGGATTTGGACTGCCCACACCTTAAAAATGCCATCTGAGGATTTACACGAAAAGCAGTCTTCATCCAGTGCTTCTAAACTATTGTCATACTACTATGACAGAAGATGGATTTTTTTTTTCTAATTTTCTATGTTAGCACTTAAACTAGGTGGTTTTGAAGTTTTGAAAGGATTTGACTAGCTATGTCATTTCTTTACAAAGAGTCCACGCTACAAGTGCCGAGCAATCTTTCTTGGGAAGGGAATTCAATAAAAATGTCAAAAGTACAAATGGACCGACCTCCTTTGTGTTTTGCCAACTGGTAAGAAAGTAACTACTAGTTTCTAGTGGAATTTTAACATTATTATTGTGTTGTCGGGGCGTGAGGCGTGGGGCGGCAGTCTTGCAACTGTTTCTCTCCCGGAAGGCTACTTTATTCACAAAAACCAAACGGACGCGAGCCGAGAGGCACAAAGTGGCGACTGAGCTCGTGGTCCCGGACCCCGCGCTGGCTTTGCGGGATCGGCACCGGAGGATGCCCGGGTCACCTCGCGCTGCGTTCCGGTGCTGGAGCCCCAAGGCCGACGCCGCCCGACCCCGACGCGTTCCGTCCCACGCATGCGTCCCGCTGGTCCTCCCCCTCCTCTTCCCCCCACCCGCTCAGATGACGTGCGAGGCGAGGGCGGAGCCAGGGTCTGTGGCGGGAGTGGGGGAGGAACTGCGAGGTGTGCGTGGACGTCAGACTGGATAGCGGAAGGTCAGGGCGGCCCGGAGCGGAAGTGGGGCTCGGGAGCTTGTCCGCCATTGTGGGCCCGAGGAGCGGAGGGCGAGCGGGGACGAGCAGCGTGCAGGCGGCGAGCTCGGGCCCCCTTCCGCGATTCCCGAGCGCGAGCCCGCTTTCCCGAGTCCCCGCGATCGGCGGCGGCGGCGGCGGCGGCTGGAGCAGAGCTTCGCGAGGGCGGCAGCTGCTGTGAGTGCTCGCGGAGAGGCCCAGGCGGCGGCGGCGGCGGCGGCGGCGGCAGCGGCAGCGGCGGCTCCTCCTCTCGGGTTGCGGTGAAGAATGTCAGCCACTAGCGTGGATCAGGTGAGGGAGCAGGGCCCGGGCTCGGCGAAGGCCCGAGCCGCAGAGCTCCACCCTCGCGGCCGGCGCGGCTCCTCCGGCCGCCGCTGGCCGGCCCTGTAACGGCGCCGCGGCTGCCGGGGGTCGGGGCTGCCGCCCAGGTCCGGCGTGCGCGCTGGGCGGCTGAGCCTGCGGCCGGGGCCCGGGACCGCTCCGAGGGCCGGATGTCCCGGCGGCCGCGGCGGGGCCCCGAGCAGGCGGGCGCTGGAGGCGATGCGGAGGGGCGGCGGGAGGCCAACAGGCTGCGGAGGAGCTGGTGGGGTTCACTCCTACGCGGATTGTTCGGAATAACTTGTCTCCGAGAATGTCTCTGATTAACACACTTTTCTTTCCTCTCCTCCCCCCACCCCACTTCACCACATCTTTCGTCTTGCTCCAGAGACCTAAAGGGCAAGGAAACAAAGGTGAGTTGTTTGTTTTTTTTTTCTTAGAGGTTGCCTGGATGTTATTTTTAAACGGCGAGAGGTTTCTTTCTTGTTTTTGCTCTTCTTCTTAAATAGTAAAGGTTAGGAAAACATCCATCGCAGCTGAGACAGCCAACATTTAGGTAGTTTCTGGGTTTGAAGCTACGTTTGTAGAAACCGAGGTACTGCAAGAATAAACAGCTGTCTTGGTTGTATTTCAATTAACGTAATGGTATTTCTTTAGTTTTCTGTTTTCTCTTCGTTACATAACTTAGGTCACACAATTTTCTGCATTTGTGTATAGTTAAGTACGTTTTTAAAGTGAACATTCTGTTTGAAATGTCTGGTTTACATTTAAACTTGAAATTCTCATGGTGTTCTATGTCCCATTAATGAGAATCATACAGTTAATCACTGATTCCATAGAAGTTGCTTGCAAAGAGGCAGCAACAGTACAGAACTCCTAACAGCAAGTATGTAATCTTACTGTATAGCCCTGATTGCAAGGTGTGTCTCAATCTGGTATCTTACAAAAGCCCGAGAAGGAAACTATTTGTGCAGTTATTGCTAGTATTATATGATTTACTATTTAAAAACTACCACTAAAAGTAAGGCATTTAAAACATAAATGTAGCTTGTATTTATGCCTGTGGAGCTAAGTAGTCAGCTGATTGAAACATTATGACATAAATCATGTGATATTAGTGTAGAACAATAACTCCTTTCTTGGGATGGTGCCAATTAAAGAACATTACAATGAACTATGTATTTATAACGTTTTGTAGTGCCGGAAATGACACTAAATACAATTACACTTCCTGTTTTTACCCCCCAGTAATCAAATACTGCTTAGAAAATAAGATCTATAATAGCCCTTTAGTTGTAAGTTTTGTGTTTCTATTGATGATTTTAATTTTTTTCCTTGGGGTTTTTATGTTGAGATGCTGGTTAATTAGAAAATAATTGTGTTCTTCGCAAAATAATTTCCTTCATGTTGTGCTACATTTTATATAAGAATTTGTATATACCAGATGCATTGTAGTGTGTAGGTAACAAACTTACTGCTTTATTTTAATTAATGATGTTTTCTTTCAGCATATAAATATTTAGGAATTTTTAATTCATAGAATTTCAGTTATAATTATAAACTTCAGAATTAGAGGTTAATTTAAAATTAGTTATTAAACATTTGCAAATTTAAAAGGAATTTCTTTTTCTTTTTTGGCTTATCTGACCATCTGTGAAATCTATGGTCATTATTGCCTAGTGTAAACTATTTTATCCTAGAACTATGGGGAATGGCACTTTGCAAGGCTATTTGAAGTGCTAGGTGCTTTGTGTTACCTGTTTTAAGGTAAGTGACTTCCGTGAAGTTTTTTTTTTTTATATAGAAATATAGACCATCTAGATTGGGTATTGTAAGCTTGTCCTATATTATCAAAGTTAGGTTTACTCAAGAATCACTTCATTTTGCCAAATGACTTCTTTGTTGTTATACATCACTTATTTATAAATCACCTTACAGATAGAAGCGAGCCACAGACTGCATTACCTGGTGACTAAATTTTTTATATGAGAATTTTTAATTATTAGTATCACTTCTGATTTAATATTTAGATACACATACACATTGTGGTTTTGGGATAGTTCTTTATTCTCCCAGTTTTTCTTTTACTCTTTTTGTTCAGTTTATAATTTTATCCTAGGATGAGACTGGGATTTCTTAAAGTCCTGGGTTCTAATACTACATATAGCTACTGATTTACTAAGTTTGCTGAGCATATTGTACCTTTTTGTTAAATTTCTCTTCTATAAACAAAAAAAGCCAGTGACTATTATTATTAGGATTATTGTAATTATAATAGCTTATTGCTCTAGTTGCTATTTGTTGAATTATTTTTTATCCTCTTTTGAGGAGGAGAAGAAAAGCTACTGGTCCAAAAGTATTGGTATATTTAAAATCATGTAAGTTGATTTAAAATGATAGAAACCATAGTAAGCTTATAAATACTTTACAGGCCAAGTCAAGGTGACTAGCAAGTGGCGGTAGGAGCTTTTGTGTGTTTGAGAAAAGCTTCTGCCTTAGCTGACTTAATTTTAATTAGTGAAATTGTCTTATAGTAAGTCTGTATACTATTATCAAGTAGAAAGTACAACTTCTTCCTGCTTTACAACTGTAAAGATACGGTTAGTAATTTTGAATTCAGAGCTTAAGAACTTTATGTTCTAAGAAGTTGGTATCAGTTAAAATTTTGAAACTGCCTGGACTACCAAGTGAGTTCCAGGAAAGGCGCAAAGCTACACAGAGAAACCCTGTCTCGAAAAACCAAAAAAAAAAAAAAAAAAAAAAAAAAAAGAAAAGAAAAAAAAATTTTGAAACTAGTTGACGTAGTATGATTTCTGAGATGCTGTGTTTCTTTTTTGAGTTACCTTTAGCTGATGTTGTTGGCCTAACACCTGGCCTTAGTGTCTGTTTTTCTGCAGAGTTTTCAAGCATATCCTTCAGGCTTATTGTAGTAAAGGAACAAAAAGGAGTTCTGTTCAGTCTGTTTGGGAAGACAAAAAAGCTTCTGAAATATAATCCCTATAATTTTTTGGTTTACTTATTTTTACATTTTTATTTTCTTTTTTTAACTAAAATTTTTTTCCTATATAAAATGTCGGAATTGCTTGTTATACTTGGCAAGATAGCACCAAAGGATAGTTAAAATTTAAGGATAATTATTTATTTGTTGGCCCATAATTTTCTTTATTAATAAGAACTTTGCTTGCTGTGTTTTCATTTGTGTGTCGGATGTCCTCTTGGGCCTTCCTCCTTTCTTTTGTCCCTTAAGTTTATATAAGTAAGCAACACGTGGAAATCGGTTTTCTTTCTCCTCCTCTTTCCTTCTGTAGGAGGGACATGTCCACCATTTTATACAACTGCAGTTTAAAAGAATTAGGTTGAAGTTGGTTGTTTGAATGCTTCAGAAAAGTAGTATATTTTGGCAATATTATGTTGTATCCCTTCTCTCTGTCCCCCCAAGAAATGATTTCAAAGCACCATACTATCATTATTTGGCTTCATATTATTAATCCTCACAACATTCCTGTAAGGACATAGAGGGTATATGGTATTGTCGCTGTTTTTGTAGGTGGGAAAACATGATGCACACATCTGTTGACTTTCCTAACTTGATGTAGTCAGGACCAGAGCAGAGAATCACCTGGCTTCTAAGGCCCATGTTCTATCTTGATTTGACTTTGCTTCATAGGGCAGAGGAAACAGGCGAAGAATCATGTAAGTCATCTGTTCTTTTTTCCCCTGAAGAACTTTTACACAATATAGAAGTGGCTTAGATTTCATTAACTGTTCAGTGACTTTCAGTCTCCAAGACATTAGATTGCCCTTAAACAATGATCAACAAAAAAACAGTTATTTTAAGAAAAATACGCTTCTGAAATTAAAGAAACAGTTAATATCTTATTAGGAGCCTTTTAGTGCATAATTTTTTGATTATATAGCAGTATGGATTAGAACTAGTGGATGCAAGAGATAGAAATGATTGTTTTAGATACTGGCTGATAGGCATACCAGTTTAGTAGTCCAGAAGTAAGAAACTTTTATTTATTTATTTATTTTTGTTCTTCAAGAAGTAAAAGATGGTGCATCGCCGCTGTTGAGAAAGGAATAGTCAAACCAGTGGGAAGCACAGGTGTAGCAGACTGGGACTGCAGTGGTTACCTCAGCCCTCAGATGGCATTGGGTATATCCTGTGGCACCCTCCTTTTTACTTTGTTAGTGGTGACAACAGATTTTAATTCTGGGGCACATTTAGCTTAAGTCTAGCTCTAACGAAGACCTTATGAAATAAGTTAAATCTTATAAGTGGAGTCAAGATCCATTTGATCTTTGGGTCAGAGATCAGCTTTGAAGGCTTCATGTTCAGAGTAGCTTTACTTTTTGAGCCATCCCTGATCATCACTGGATGGAAAGAATGAAGGGATTTTACAGATCTTTGCTTATAAGCCACTGCTCACTAACATTACATTTTAGGAGATGTACACTTAGGGCAAAATTAGAGTTGATGATGCTCTGGATAAAATTAACCCCACATTAGTTGGCACTACTTTGTGATATTATAGTTTTGAGCAGTAGTTCTAAGAGATTGATATCCCTCAGAAATTGCTTTTTTTTTTTCATTTCATGTTCCAATAATAAATATTGATACCATATCAGATATTATCCCAGTAACCTTTGTCTGTTTTTCTGGTTCAGAAAAATTTTAGTTTTATTTGGGGTGTTGCAGTATTCAGTATTAATAAAGATAATTGAATATGGTCATTTAATACGAAGATGAAATGAAGTAGGCACTGAATAACCTGAATAGTCATCAGATTAGTGAGCTCAAATGGAGACCACCAGCCTCCTTGGTAGTAGACCTGAAATTGAAATCCAGGAGGTGGCTTTATATGTTGTACTCAGTCACTGCTAGGACAGTGTCCAAATATATTTTTTTCTTGACTACAAATGTATTTTTTACAGTGTTTATGAAATAGCTTTTGAACTAGTGTGACATTCTGATTTATCCTCTAATTTGTTTTCTCATGTGTTTCATGAGTAATCATCATCATCTTTGGTGTCTTAATTGTTTTACTTTCATGTGAAAGTCTTATTTATTGGTGTTTGGATTTGAATTCAAAGCCTCAGTGCATGTTAGCTTCACCAGTGAGTTGTTACCCTCAGTTAGCCTTTGGGAATCGAGGTATGTGCACACACATGAATTAGAGAATCAGTCTTACATATTTGAACTAGAGTACGTAAATAGCATACACTGGGCCTGGGTTGGCACCCCCAGTACTGACAAAAACCAAACCAAAACAACATAAGGCCATAGTCCACACTGGTTTTTAACCTTACGATCCTTTTGCTTCTGCTTCTCAAGTGTTGTGATAACCAGTATGTGGCATCAGACCAGTCCTTTCTAGATTTTTCATAATCATGAATTTTAACCACTTTGACTCGAGACATTTAAGTAATTACTGGAACTTTAGGTCATAACTGGTTACTAGAAGGCTGGGCCTGATGCTGTATACATGCCTGTGTGCCCATTGCTTCACAAGCTGAAGTGGGAGGATTGAGAATTCAAGGTTAGCCTGGGTAACATAGGAAGACCCAGTTTTGGTAAGAAAAAAATTCTTACCTTTATCAGATTATTAGACTTTTACAAAGTTAGGTCACATGTTCAAATATATTGTCTGCATCATTACTTAAAGTTATTTTAAAGTCACACAAAATTTTAGGAAGCCCTTTCCAACATTTCTGTGTTTCTTTGTTCACTACAATGTTGAAATTGGGGTATTTAAGATTTTGATTGGGGGGGGTGTATAGATCTGGCTTATATAATGTTGGACTTATGAATCACAGGATTTTTAAGTTTTCTGTGGCACACATTAAATATTTATTTCTAAAGGTTATCCTTAAGAGGGTTCTTAAAACAGCAAGGAATTCAGGATTATTTTTTTCGGAGTTGACTTGAAAAATTTTTTAAATGTTAGATTGTGCTATAAATTTTATAAGGATTACATTTCTAATACAAGTATGTTTTTTAGTTTCAGTACAAAATGGTTCGATTCATCAAAAAGATGCTGTAAATGATGATGATTTTGAGCCATACTTAAGTAGCCAGACAAATCAGGTAAGTTTTTTGTAAATTAAGATTTTAAGAAGTTAAACTTCTATTAGGTTTTGCTGATTTTTCCAAATAGACATCGAATTGAATACAAGACTAATATAATGTGAATTAATCCATGTAGTTTGCCTATGTGTGGTAAATAACACTTGCAGGTTTATGGCATAGGAGACTACTTTTGAGATTATAGGTAACTGAATGGGGTTCTAACTTATTTAAAGATGAACATCATTTTTATATATTATGCTTAGATTTTTTGTTTGTTTGTTTGTTTTGTTTTGTTTGAGCTGAGGACCAAACCCAGGACCTTGTGCTTGGTAGGCAAGCACTCTACCACTGAGCTAAATCCCTAACCCCTTAGAATTTTTTAATATTAAGGTAGTTTAATCTTTTACTTTTGCAGCCATGTTCCTTTCTTTCTTTCTTTCTTTTTTTTTTTTTTTGTTTGCTTGTTTTTTCTTTTCCTCTTTTTTTTTTTTTTTCTCAAGACAGGGTTTCTCTATGTAGCCTTGCCTGTCCTGAAACTCACTTTGCCCATCAGGCTGGCCTTGAACTCAGAAATCCATCTGCCTCTGCTTCCCAAGTGCTGGGATTAAAGGAGTGGTCTACTATCGCCCAGTACAGCCATGTATTTTTAACTAAAGCAAATTAAACTTAATTTACTGGAAAGTTTTACTAGATAAGAATTAGTTTGTGTTTTATAACTTTAGTTAAATGTATTTTCTTTTAAGACATGAATTTAAGTTACTGCAGTTTTTCATTTTGCAGTACTAGAGAATAGAATTAAGGATTTTATAAATACTTTTTTATTGTGGACATGGAGATTTAATACATATCATTAGTGCTCCCCCTCCCAATTCTGGGATTGGAATCTATGATGTAGTATATGCTAAGTCATGTTCCACAATTAAGCTACATGCCTAGCCCCTAGTAGCTTCTGAGAAGTTGTTTATAAGGATAATTTAAATGCTAAGAAGCAGAATGGTATTTGGTATTTAGACAAAATTTTTGCTGTCATGTTTATTGTTAAATTTGTGTCATTGGTTGAATCAAATTTTGAAAACACAATTTCAGCCTCTACCAGTTCATGAGAATATTCTGGAATGAAGTTTCTAGTGCTGTTTCTTTCACTTGTAAAAAGATATATGAAAAATGTACTCTGAAACTTTAACCTAGGTTTTTAAAAGTATAAGAGGAAAAGGCACTAAGTGTTCTCATTGAACTGCGCAGTTAGCAATTTGAACAAAAAGTTTCTGCTTTGTGGAATGTAGACTTGATTTGTAGCTTCTAGAAGTGATGGCTTTGCTCAGCCTCATCTACCTGTTGGTCATTTCTCTTTATCCGCTTTCCTTTGTGTGCTGGCTCAGATTCTTAGCATACATTGGAGAGGAATAAATAAGTGAGGAGGAATGAAAACAAGTGGTAGAATTTGTGAATGCTTGGCAGGAAGGAGTAGAAAAAAAGTCAGCATTTGCCTTTCCACAGTACCAAAAATGATTCCTTCTAACAAGACTTGCATTTTAAGAGCAATAACAATTTAGAATGTTGGAAACTAGGTTTATTGTACAGAAAAAAGTGGAAATTTGTCTAAAATCTTAAAGGTAAGTTATATAAATAAGGTTTTAAATAATTCAGAATTTCTTAGCTGAACTATAAAATTAAAATAACTCGAGTATTGTCAGTTTACTGGAAACTGAATATATTGCTGGAATATCTCAAGTAATCGTGATTGACAGACTTTATAAAGTTGTGCAAATATTCAAATATTTAATGAATTAGTTCCTTGCAGTGCTGATCTAACTAAAGTAGTTATTCAGTTAAAATTCAACTTGATAAATTGTGAGGTTCTTGTTAAGATTTATTTTTATGTGTATGTGTGTGATTATAAGTTGCATGTGTGTATGTGGGTCCTGCAGAGGCCACAAGAGGGTGTTGGATCTTCTGGACCTGGGATTTGTAAGTTGTGAGTTGTCCAAGCTGGGTTCTGGGACAGGAAGAACAGGAAGGCTCTTAACTGCTGAGCCACCTCTCCAGCTCTACGCATTTTTAAATGTGTTTTTAAAATTAATCTCTGTGCAATTTCAAAAGTTTTAAATAACAAAGATGAATCATCTGGTGGGAAAGGTGTTTTAATACTTTTGACTGATTTAAATTGTTTTATATGCTTAGATCTAATTCATAGCAGCTAACTCTAGGATTGTGCTAAAAATGTTGTTGGCTTTACTCCTCTGGCAGCATACTTCTTCCATTTTATAGTGTTTTATTTTGTAAAGGAGGAAGGAAACAGATCATTGATTCCTTGAGTCCAGGTTTCGTGTTTCAGCTGCCTTTTTGTTGAAGATGCCATGTAACTTGCAAATACATTTAAAGAGGAAGTTGGAATACTGATGTTACCTGTGGTCAGTGTTGGCGTTTTGTGTTTCCAGATTCTTGGCCATTTATTCAGAGAAATTAAAACCCACACTGATTTGTAAAAGTAGCAAGGAAATTTCATTTAAGGCAAAGCGGTAGGAAAATTTAGCATATACTTCAAGGGAGCAGCCAGCCACGTGAGTGAAAATATTCAAGGCCTCAAGTTGCTGCCTGAGTTCTCTCTTCAGGAGGTCTAAAGGAAAGATGGGCTGATTGCTAAGGTTGTAGTTTGAATGGTTCTCTATTTTGATTGATAGATTAGGTCAATCAAATAATTTTTCCATTGTGCATATTCCTTCCCATGTACATCTAATTTTAGTCATATACAGAGGAATAAAGTGGATTTAGAGTATAATTCCTAAAAAGATGCAGTTTTGTTTTACTGTTCATGTACACCAAACCAACCCTGGCTGGATCCATCCTCTGATCTTCAGACTAGAATGCATTGAGAATACTTTTGAATACAAACTTTCTGAGTTTAATTGTTAGAGTAAAAACTTGTCCCCTTGTTCAGAGAGATATCTTCATGTAGGCCCCTGTGGGTGGGCTCTGAGGTTTCTGATTGAATTGATTGGAGAGGAGTGTGTACATATGTACATTACTAGAAGAGGGGTATATATACGTACCACAAATCAAGTGGAATCCTAAGTCATTCAGCCAGCCCCTGTGCTTTTCCAGTGGAGGCTTGGGAAAATAATTACATTTGAGTTTTATTCTGTTTTGGCATCATGTGCCATTGATGTGATTTTTCCACTGGCGTTTCAGTAACTACCAAGCCACAGACTTGTCTGATTGTGTGATTGTCAATACTAACTAAAAAAAAATTACCTGCCAGATGTGATGGTGTACTTAGCACTTAGGAAGAGGCAAGAGGATCTCAAATTTAAGGCTGACTGGGATACATAGTGAAGTTGAGTTTAGCCTGCACTGCATAGCAAGATTGTCTCCTAAAAATCAAAACAAAAAATAAAGCCCACATAAAATCACTACTACAGTTTCATAGAAGTGGTTATATTTGTCATATGAGTGCATTTAAAATGACTTGTATACGTGATCTCCTCTTTAGTTAACATTGCCCATCCTTGTTAAATAAGACTTATTTTCTGGAGATGCAAATGTTTTCTTGATTTCTTAAAAAAAAAAATTACCCTAATCTTTGTATTTGTCATGCATGTTTTTTATGAAAAGCCTCAGAGTCATCACCCCATGAAGTATTATATTTCTGAGTTAGTTATTTGCTGATGTGTTTTGTTTTACTTTCTATACCTGAGTATAATACCAGTTAAGTTGGAGGGTTAGTTCTTGTTGCTGTATTGTGGAGTGCTCCAGTACAAAGAATGAATTCTTTATCTTTCTATTTCTAGTCACTGGTGTGATGGTATCTAGAAGGACAAGGGATTCATGAAATATATATTAAGTTGATGAATGTGTTAGGATATTTGGTAGAATTACAGAATGAAGAATTACAGTTGATGAAACACAGATTTTATTATATTTAACAATTTTATGATTGTGTTTTGACACTCTCACTATATAGCCCTGGCTGGCTTTAACCTTAAGACTCTCCTGCCTTAGTCTCCCAGGTACTGAGATTATTGCCTTGACAGTGCTTTTGCACTGCATTGCATTGCAAAAATCTCAGTTTTTGCAATGAACAATAGAAGAGAGTAAATATTATCATTATAGATACAGTGAAAATCACTAACCCATTCATTAATTCCAGAATCAGGAGAGCTTTTTGTGTGTGTGTGTTTGAGATTGGGTTTGGTGGTATATGTAGCTCACATTAGGCTTGGCTCTGAACCCATCAGTTTCCACATGTATTAGGATCATAGAAGCGTGCTACAATTCTGGGCTTGGAAATTGGGAGTCAGTCTTTGAAGTACTTAAGGTACTTTTTTTGTTTACCTGTTCATTTTCTGAGACAGGGTCTCACCATGTTTCCCTGGCTGTCCTGGAACTTCTTCTGTAGATCAGGCTGGCCTCGAACTCAGAGATCTGCCTGCCTCTTGAGTGCTGGGATTAAAGGTGTGTACTACCACTGCCTGGGCAACATCTCAATTTCTTAATGTTTTTCTTTTTAATAAATATTTATATTCTCTGAGAATTTCGTAGGATTTTTTTTATCGTTTTTTAGCTTCGTCCCTCAACTCTTCTTAGGTTCAACCTCCTTCTCTTGTTTTAAAATTGAATCTTATGTCTTGTTTAAAATTTTTTTTATTCATTTAAAAATGTTACAGACTTTTATAATTTATTTTTAAGTGGATCAGCATTCTCATTTATAAGTATTCTAAAATATTTTAGTTTTCTTTTAGAAGTAAAATTTATATAAAAGGTGCAAAATCCAAGTGCACCTGTGACCGAAGCCAGTGTCCAAATATAGACCATCTTTCATTAAAAAATTTCAGTTCTTGAGTTTAATTTTGTATTGACCTCCAGGGACATTTTGAGGATTTTTTTCTTACATGAATCAGATGTTTAGAGTTACACATATTTATAAGGTTATGATTCATGGATATATAACATGGAATGATTATATCAAGGTAGTTAAACTATACCTTAAATAGTTCTAACAATTTCTTTATGCTGTGGAC